CTTGAAGCTTTACACTTTGTTGTTATCATATCTTTTGAATCCCTTTGAATCCCACAACTTTCATAATACGATTTACTTGAAGAAAAATTGCGTGAAATTAAACATTGCACAGAATGTAAAACCACTGATTCAGCTAAATTTCGTCAACAAAAGGCAATAAATGGAAAGAAGCTGAGAACAACAACTTACTGAAGGTAACGTGTTGTTTTATGTAACATTTGTTATATGAATTTTGTAGAAAATCCTTTAAAAAGAGAACCTAGGAGAGTAAAAACCACAGATGCGGAAGAGGAAGAGGTAAATGAAAAGATTGATTTCACTAGAGCCATCAAGGTCCTATACGATTTTGATGAAATACAAAGATTGCTCCAAGAAATAGAACCAAGCTTGAAGCAGTTTTTTGACCAACTCTATTTAGCAGCTCAGCCATTTGAACATAATGAACAAATAATGGACCATATGAAGAGATTAATGGTGGTGTTCATGTGTTATCTTCTTGTTTTATTAAATAATACAAAATCAACTCTTTTAAATTCGACCTTTCATTCTATTTAGACTCGGTAGATACAAGTCTTGGAGTAGCTACAACATCAAGAGCAGTAGATCGTAAAAAGAAGCAAGTTGCAGATGAACATGAGAATGCACTTACAAAATATTCAAAAAATACATTCTTGTTGAATGTTGACGATGATTCACGTCCAGAGACAATATGATACTACCAGTATATCAAGCACAAAATCAGTATCCATCCTTTAATTATTAAAACTTTGTTACTTCTAGGAAACCATCTACAAACATTTTTTGCAATTACGTATATTGTGATTACACTAACCATACTAATTTGAATAATTGTAGTGCACCCATGTTATCACAATCATTGTTTACAAAGGTGTCAATCAAAATGTTTGATATCTTGGACTACCTTCAAGTCAAAATCAAAAAAAATGTCAACACTAAGGATACCGGCTGCAACTTTTGATCGGAAAATCCAATCCAATTCCATTAGTGTAGTTAACATTTGGAACTTTTAAGAGTTTCAGCCCTATATAAAGGTTTTGACTAAGGTTTTAGATTTCAGCCAGGGTGTCGATGATCGTTGCTACCATCTTTGCGTCATATAAAAACAATTGCAACCACCTTTACAACCATTTTGTTTCCTTTTTGGGTTGCGACATGGAACACTAGTCAATACACTAAAAGAAAGTATGATGAAAAATATTAAATGAAAATGAATTTATTGAAAATAACGAAAATACAGTTGATGATGGATCCGGGTAATGTTGAATCTGCAACAGATGACAGCTACAATGTAAATTTTATTAGAACATGCAAAAAAATTTTTGGATTGTAAATTTTGTTTTTATTAAATAAATTTGTTTGATTTTTCATACATTGTTCATTTTTTGTCACAATCATATATCTTAAATTTGTTGTGTTTACAATCATTCATTGACATTCATTATATTAAGGTTATTTTGATTATATCGAGAGATATGGTCAAGAGAAAAGTTAGGAAGAGAGTTATTCTTCGACCAAGTCAAAAACCAACCCTTTAAATACATTTTCGAGTAGTACAATTTAATTTAT